TAGGTTTAAACAAATACATATCCTACAGAAACCTACGTTATATATATAACATTATATAAATATGTTATATGTTTACTTGCATAAACACTCTTATTTTCAAGCTAAAAGGGAGATGGCTGTATTGATTTGCAGCTCAACAGTGAAGGTTGGTAGCTGCTTCCTGCCTCTGTGGAAGAGTCCCTTGGTTTGCCCATCTCATTTACCTGGGGGTAGGGGTGGGGGAGGTAGAATGCTGGCACTTGAGTAGATCTGTACAAGGAATAAAACAAATCAATCCAGCCCAACCCCTCTACTTCCTGGGCCAGTAGCTCGGTGCCCCTGGGGAAGGCAGCTGTCAGTATGGTTAGTTACACCCTGGGTGGTGTAAGCTTCTCTGTCATTATCTCCTGAGACAGAGGACTTTTGTTTCATCTCTAATCCTTCATTCCTATTACTTACTGTTAGGCTGAAGGGAGAGGTCAGCCAATTTTAGTTTCTATTCTTTCCCTTCCTTATTTCTAGTGTATATTGGAGACACGCTAGTTTGCTAGAATGTCAGAAAAAATTTATTTTCTAAATTTGACTTGTGTTCTGAAAGCTGAGACCAGAGGCAGTAGCAAGCTCCACTCCTCATGACTTTACTCTGAACTCACCCTGACTTAGGTGGGAGTCTAAGGGAAAGGACCTGGTTCTTTGGAGCAAACATGGCAACTTTTTCATCCAAATGCCAAGGATCATTTGGCCTTCGGCAGGCCCAGTTGTTGCTCGACTTCATCCTTGGACCAAGGGAACACTTACTAGTGGATTCTGCAGTGTCACCGGGGTCGTGTCTGCTGCCCAGATGTCCTGCCCTTTCAGCTGGATCAAATATCCTGCCCCTATGAGACTTTTGGAGTGAGGCTATGAAGGAAATGCCACGTTCTACCCAGATGGAGCTACAGGCAAGTCAAGGAGAGCCTGTAAAATGCTTAAGAAGCTTTAGGGATGAAAGGATAGGCAGTTCCCAACACAGGGAATTTAAAGGTTAATAGCATCTGACTGGGTTTTGTGTTTCTCTTTTCTAATAACACCTACACTTGTCTCTCCACCCCAATTCTGGTTCTGAAATAGTCACCTTGATCTAGAAAAATCAAGACTCAGCAAAGGAATAAACTCCCAGGTTCCTGAGACTCCAGAGAGCCTAGAGTCCAAACACCTTCTTATACCCTATGTGCTCTTTGATCTCTCTGGACCTCAGTTTCTTCATCTGGAAAAAAAGATAAAGGTAGCCAGAGGGTTAGAGCATTGGGCTTGGACCTGAGACACATGCTAGCTGTATGACTTTGGAAAAGTCACTCAGCCTTTTAAAGCCTCAGTTCTCTCACCCATAAAATAAAAATGGTCTCTAAGGTCCCTTCTAGCTTGAATTCTGTGATCCTCTGATAGGGATGGACTCCATGATCTCTAAGGTCCCCACCAGTTTTAAGTCTATGATCCCAATTGACTTTTTCTCAATCTGCAGTATCTGGATTTAGGACAATCATGTTCAGTATATGGTCCAGTTTCCCCCCAACCCCCGTCATTTTCCATTCCTCACCCATTCTACAGTTTGCTTCCCTGATTGAACTTCTGCCTCCCCTCTTTCCCCTCTCCCCGACCATAAGGCCAGGACTGCTGCCAATGGCCCAGAGTTCTCATTCCTAATTTACACTACAGTTTCACCAAGACCCTTCTCCCTCCCACTCCAGCCTGGTCTTGTCTGGTCCAGCCTGTCTGAGTCTGTGTCCTCACCTTAATGAGCAGCACAAAAGCGCTAGGCCTGGACCGCATCCACAAGGACTTATTATCGGAATTTTATCTGGACAGAAGATCAAGAGGAGTGAAAGGAAAGTGACCCCCATGAGGGAAGAGACAATGCAGCCAGATCCAAAGCCGGTTAATCCCAAAGCATCCCCAAGGCTTTCGTGAAGCGTATACAAAGGTTAGCCAGAGAACCAGATGCTCCAGCTCTTCTACAGCTGTGCAGCCCAGTCATGAAACCTCAGTCAGCACACTGCGTGCCTTCTGCGGCTAACGAGCAGGACTGCGCCCCTGGCTAACGCAGAAAGGCACAAGAGAGCCGGAACAATCAGACAAGGAGAGCAATGCAAGAAAGAGGGCTGAGGTTTTCATGGTCACAGACTCTGTTGTTAGGAGTCACCTTCACCGAATAACCTACGCTGCACAGATGACAAAAACGGTTGGGTCCTAGCATGTTTTCGGGCCAATTGTTGGGGGCAGGGAAATATAAAACCCTTTTACACAAAGGTTAGGAGTTTGGGGAGCTGAGGTGGTTTTGTCAGGTCCCAATTAGTCCAAACAATTAATTCCTCCTGAAGTGATTGTATGTATTTGAATTCATATTATTTGAAGTTGCGATTACGTAAAGTATGGTCATTGGTTCCAGTCCAAAGGAAACATGTGGCAAGAAGGTGAATAAATAATACGATCATGTCACAAGATTCATTATCCATACTAATTGAGACTCAGTTATAATTGAAAAGTTTAGGGGTACAGCCCAATTGGGTAGGAGCAGAGGGGAAGGCTAAGGGAGCAGGGAGATTGGCTTGCAGTCCCTCATTATCTTCACTCAGAGATGCAGCATCTAACGAGGTATCAAAAAAGAAGATTATTTGGCTTCAGAAAAAGATCACTCCTGGAAAATCACTTGCGAGCAATTCCTTTCTCCAAGACCCAGGCAGATTTACCTTTGAAGGCCTTAAGCTTGTAAAGCTCAGAGGCAGGAATCTCAGGCAAAGGAATGGGTCCCAAAGGAGCACTTCTCATACCCAAGTAATCTTGGAACAGAACTGCACATCAACGTGCAGCATGTTATGCCTGGCTCCTGCCTCCTCTTGCCAAGGAAATGCCACACATGACACCAAATTCATCTTCAAACAAGAGTGACTCAGGGCCTTAGTGTCCTGGGTTATAAATTCAGTCTGCTGATGACTCCTTAGCAGGATCAAATAGGTAGACAAAGTGATTCAGGATGGAACTAAAACCCACAGAGCTTTGATAATTAGCACAGAGAGTAAAAGAAATCACAAGAAGTCAACAAGAAGTTAAGAGAAAGTGCAGGGAGAGGGTGAAGAAAGAAAATGGATTTCCTGGCATGAAGATCTGCTGCATTATTTAAAAATGAAGAAGAAGAAGAAGAAGAAGAAGAAGAAGAAGAAGAAGAAGAAGAAGAAGAAGAAGAAGAGAGAAGAAGAAGAAGAAGGAGAAGAAGAAGGAGAAGAAGAAGGAGAAGAAGGAGAAGAAGAAGAAGGAGAAGGAGAAGGAGAAGGAGAAGAATGAGAAGAAGAAGAAGAAGAAGAAGGAGAAGGAGAAGAAGGAGAAGAAGGAGAAGAAGAAGAAGAAGAAGAAGAAGAAGAAGAAGAAGAAGGAGAAGAAGAAGGAGGAGGAGGAGGAGAGGAAGAAAGAGAGAAAGGAAGCAAGGAAGGAAAGAAAAAGAAAAGAAAGAAAAACACCCAAGCAATTAAAAACAAACCACACCAAAAGCAAAACTCTCTTATGACTTGGGCCTGTACCCTGAGAACACAGAGAAAGACTGAACGCTGTCTATCTCATAGTGACTGGATACGCAGAACAGCTGAGTTGAGCTTGACCCAGTATTCACACAGGCTAGTCAAATTCCTGAGATTAACTTCTTGACCAATATTTTTGAAGCAGGTTTTGTGAACATAATGACAACAAGCTTTTATGACTGCCAGTGGGCTAATGGTGTAAGCAAGGCATCATGCAACAGAACTGATTGAGTGTTATTGATAAATGGTCTTTGAGGTTATTGTAGTCCCAATTAATCAGCCTAGATGAGAAAAATCAAACATATGGTCTTGTTCAAGGACTCTGAGGGATTTGTCAGAGAGTAGAGAATATGTTAATAATTGCTTGGAATGGTTTTAATGGCTCATCTTGTAATTTTGCACACGCAAAACAGTAAATCAATGGGAAGACTAAGATGTGATCTGTATGGGTTAATTAGGGTACCCAAATGCCTTTGCTAATAAAGTACTGCAATTAAGATATTCTGTAAGTGGGAGTGAGAGCAAGGGCTTCAGCCTGCATCAGAGAGAACCACAGTTCTAGAAATCATACCTCCAAAGAAATGTCTGAGGTCTCTTTATGATGATGTCAATCTGGTCAGTTCTACAGTATTTTTCCACTCTAGCCCTGAATCAATTTTTCCAAAAGGATCAAAAAGTTTGGCCATGGGGAAAGTAACTCTCCCTTCTTAAATCAGGAAGGGTTTTTAGGATCAGACACCTCTGTCCTCCTGTAGAGATGCTGATGGTGGGAATGGCTCCTTTATAACATATCCCCCCAACTCTCTAAAGCCAATTGCCATGTTTTATGCTGTAAGACCATATTAATTCAAACTCTCCTAATTTGAAATTTGCAAATAATACCAGTATATTTCTGTAACTTTATGAATAAAAAGCTAGAAATGGTATCTCCTTATGGCTTTTTAGGATCCTATCTACAATTTCAAGAGAATCTGGTCTCAAAATTAGTATCTTTTCAAGGTATGTTTGTAAGAAATTAAGTTTTTGGACGAGACACCTTGGATCAAATGGCCATGGAGACTACTTCCAACTCTAAGACTGGTGACTACCTCTTTTATTTCTGGCAATTTCAGCTCTTGAAATGCAAAAGAATTTTTGTATTTTATGGTGAATGGCAAATGCCTTTGTTAATTCACCAAACTCTGTTCTGTATGTCCTCCATAGCACATCCCCAGTAACACAGAATAATATTGGGTACAGAGTAGACAGGTAAACTGTCTGAATGCAATTTGAGAATTTAATGAATGTCAACATGGCCTTCTTCCCAATAGTTCTAAATAAATAAGTCTCCGCTGCAAATTTTGTCCAATAGCAGTGGCATTTATGGTGCTAACTTTGCAACCACACACACAATACTCTACCTGTCACCATCCTCTTCAACGGGCCCCCATAATGTCTGCCAAAGCGTAAACCTTCTCCCATTCAGAACCTCACCTCCCTGTGTGCTCCTGAAGCACCTGGTAGACGCTGATCCGGAAAGTTTCATTATCAAAGCGTTCTCGGATGTAATCCTTGTATATCCTAAATTCAGCAGCAGTCACAGCTTCTCCCTCTGGGATCCTGGAGAGATCAAACCTGAATTCCCGATGATGATAGCGTTGGTGGAAAAACTCTTTGTCATGCTCCACTGGAAAAAAAAAGGGGGGGGGGGAGAAAGGGTAACTGACTTTCCATTTGTAAATCTTCCAGCAGGTACTTCCTACATTCTCCCTGTCATTTCACTTTAGATAAATAGGAAGTAAGATGGGAGCAAGAAGCAATTGGTTATATTTCTCCCACTTCTTTACCACTTTCTGAATTGGAGAGCTAGATTTAACTCCTGTTTCTTCTCCTGCCTGTACCAGTGACAGTTTTACTTTGGACTCTACAGGATGATATAGTTAGGAAAGAATATTGGATTTGGGGTCAAAGGCTCTAGCCTTGAATTCACTCTCCTACAATTTTCCTGTGTAACCTTGGACAAATCACTTTCCTTTTCTAAGTCTCAGTTTATTCATCTTTAGAATGAGAGGTTTGGATGCAATGACCTCTCAGGTCTCTAGCTCTGAACCCTAGGATCCTATGAGTGCTATCGGCCCACATTCACCACTATTCATTCAACACCTTGCAAACACTTGGATTGAGCACAAAGAGAGGACAGAAACATAGCAAGGATGCTTCTGGGGGAAAAAGGGGGTGGGGGGCTGGCTGAAGAAGGCCCCATCACAATATTTTTCTGGGGAGGCTGAGAATTTATATTTATCCCCAAGGCAAACATTACTATTTAAAATCATATTGTGCCAGATGCCCAAACTTTCAAAGAAATTAGGCAATCAGCCAGAGAGAGAGAATTAGAAAGAGAAAAAGAATCCTTTCTACAGAAAGCAGAATGTTCAGGTGTTCAAGTTCACTCTGGATAATTGAATTACAAGATGTGTCAGAGCTGGGTGAACTACACACAAAAGGGGTGTGTATTCAGCAAGAGTGAACATGTTAACTTCTAAAAAGAGACAGAGGGAATAGCAGTACTCATTTGGCTAGGCAGAGTTTCCCTAGGCAGGGGAATTGTGCAGGACAAGGCTAAAAGGAAGGCATTTGTGACAGACCTCGGAGATCTTCAGAATAATAGAACAATACTGCTGGCAGGGACCTTAGACCCTAGCCCAATTTTCTCATTTTACAGCTGAGGAAACTAAGGCCCAGAGAGATCAATTAGGACACACTTGGGGTGGAAGGGTGAAGGAAATTAAGAATGGGATGAAAGGGAAGCGGACATTTTTCAGCCCAATGAATTCTGAAAACTCTAAGATTAGGTTAAACTTTGCTCTAGGACCAGAATCATCAGGTTGTATGATAAGAGATAGGCTGGTCCCCAAGAAAAAAGAATTCCTAAGGTTTCTGAAAACATTTAAAACCATAGTTTGAAAAGATTTCTTTTTAAAAAAAATCCACCCAAACCAGGCCGCTCATTTGTGCATGCAGCACAGATAAAGTAATTGCTCATTTAATTACTCTGAGTCTATGTAAGTGGATATACCCATGAATTCTGAGAGGCCCTTTGGAAATGTGATCTTTGATATTAACACACATGCTTCTCTGAATGTACTGCAGCTGTTGAAATCCTGGTAACATGTGGGAGAACGGAACTCAAAGGAATCTCAAGGAACCATTCTTCTCCCTGTTTACAGTTCCTCCCCTTTCCCTTTACACTCTGGCTGTATCTCCTGACCCAGAAGTAACAAATCTTTTCAGACCTAATTTATGAGAAATACTGACCCAGAATCCACATATTAGATCAAGATAGTAAAATGTATCATTTATAATTAGAGACAAAGAGAAACGGGCTGGGGGGGGTGGAGGCGGGGCCCCAGGAAAGGGCAGCAAATAGTTTCAAAGCAAAACTGTAGCACATGTGGTGAGTTAAGATCATGCACTGTTTGGTGACCCTAGCAATACCTTAAACACAACAGCATGAGGTAAGCACGCCATGGAGCTTGAGCCCTTAGGTCTGAATTTCCCCAGCTTCTGTGGGTGTAAGCTAGCCTTTTGACAATGTGCCATGGAGTCTGATTAACTGCCTGGAGTGGGGGGATGGAGGGGGGGGAGTTGGCTTTTTAAAGAAGGAGAGAAGGGGGAGGGGGAAATCTGTTCCATGTGGGGGATAGACACTTGAAACCAGATCAGGTTTCAGGAATCAAACAGACCCAGCCTGCATCGGTTCTTTCTGGGCCTCAATGACCTAACATGGGTGGGGCAGCTGCTGATATAACAAGCCATGATGACAATTTTGGACCTATTCTAGCTGGTCATGTCAACATCTGCTGCTATTCCCCTATACCTGGGGGAAGAGGAAGGACAGGGCTTTGAGGGTTTACGAGCCAGAAGATTCTCGATCCCTCCAGCCTCTCCTTAACAGGCACCAGCCACAGAGATGCTCAGGACCTGTCCATAACTGTTTCTCCAAGTATGCTAGAGAGATAACACACAAACCTCCCATGCATAAGCTGTGTTCCTCAGGACACTAGGGTAGAGTAGCAACTGCCGCTTGAGTATTTAAATCTAGTCACCATTCAGAAGATGCCAAATGTTGATTTATTAGTTAAGATTTCTGACAAAGCACAGGAAAGCAGGAATATGAGAAATGTTCTCTAACGGTAGTTTTTATAGCCCAGAAGGTAAAATAACAGACAAGTGAAAGACAAAGAGCAAAGATGCCCATGGGGGAAAAAAAGCACACGAAGGGAGGGCAAAAGAACAAGCATTTATATCATGCCTACTATGGGCCAGGCACTGTGTTAAGTGCTTTTAAAAATACTATCTCAGTATGACAGGATTGATTTAAAAAATGTTTTTGCAAACATTTCCATTGATTCTTCAAATTGAAACATACACTAGAGTCTTAGCTGTGTTTGCCAGATCACTAAAGTTCTAATGGTACAACATGTTTTACTAGTAAGCCTCCCAGCTAATCTGTATTTAACTCTTGGCTGCTCTCTTAATTAGGTTTCATGAACACATCCGAACAGTATTGGTCCTGACAAACTATGCTTGTTCTTGTGTCCTTAAAAGAGGTGATGCTTTATTTTGTTTCATGGGGGAATGAGGTATGCATAAAAGGCTACTAAGAGACAGCATGACTATTAGCATTTATGTAGCACTTAAGGTTTGTACAGTACTTTACAAACATTATTTCATTTGATCTTGGGAAATAAGTGGTATTATTATCCTTATTTTACAGATGAGGAAAATAAGGCAAACAAGTGACTTGCCCAGGGTTATATAGCTAGTAAGTATGTGTGGGGCACAATTTGAATCCAGGTCTTCCTCAATCCAGATCTAGCATTCTTACTACTATCCAAGACCAGGTCATGACAAATTAACCTTATTTCCCTTTTTGTGCACAGTGGCTTGCAAATAGGGGTTGAATTGACAGGGTTACTAGTAGTTACTAGTAGTTCAAAGGAATGCCACATTGTAAGTACACCTGGACTTCAGCAGAAGCGTTTGATAAAGTCTCACACTTTTCTTGTCAATCAGATAGAGAGAGGTAGGCTGAATTAGTGTTGGCTGTTGTCTTTTTTAATATAAAAACATTTCATAAACACTCCCACCCCAAAATGATAGTACTATGATATTACTATACTCAGAGTGAGAAAATGCATAACATCTAAAAAGTACTGGGAATTCAGCTTTACTTTTAAGTGAATTTGTATCTTATTAATCCCAGCAATAGCTACATATATTTTAAGAACAGTTATACATGTATGTGCAAGACATTCTATACAAAGCCATATACAAAAGGAATCAAGCACAGGTCAAAGTGACAATGCTTGATATGAATATGGATTCAAAGACCCCTTTTAGTAACTCTGTGCCCCGCACTCCCTGCAAGGTCCATAAGGTAGTTTCAAAACTGGCTGAGTCGAGACCCCCAAAATAGATGAGTCATTAATGGCTTGACGTCAAGTTAGATGAAGGTTGTTAATGGTGTACATCAGGAATCTGTCCTTGGTCCTGGGCTAATCAACATTTTTAGCAATAATTTGGAAGAAGGCATAGATAGCAAACTTATAGGATATACAGATGGCATGAAGCTGAGTGAGATAACAGGCATGTTAAATGCTAGACTCAATCTAGTAGACTAGAGTGATGATTTAATGAGATGAAATTAAATAGTGGAATGTAAAGTCCTGCATTTGAGAGAGAGAGAGAGAGAGAGAGAGAGAGAGAGAGAGTGCGTGTGTGTGTGTGTGTGTGTGTATGTGTGTGTGTGTGTGTGTGTGTGTGTGTGTGTGTTTTAAATCTACTGCACAGGTGCAGGGCAGGAAAAACTGCCTATACAATAGTTCCTGTGAAAAAGATCTTGGGTTATTAGTGTGCTGTAAGCACTGCAAGTCAATAGTGTAATATGGTATCGGGGGGAAAAAAAAGCTAATTCAGTCTTAGGCTATATTAAAAGAAATACAGAATCCACAAGAAGAAAGGTAATAGTTCATGGCACTCTCCTCTGGTCAATCAATATTTATTAAGCACAGTAGGTGCCAGATATGTGCCAGATATGGTGCTAAGTACTAGGGAATATAAAAAAAGGCAAAACACAGTCCCTGCCCTCAAGAAGTTTACAGTCTAATGGGGGAGACAACAAGCATATACAAAGCAAGCTATATCTAAGAAAAATATGAAATAATTAGCAGAGGGAAGGCACTAGAATTAAGAGGGGTTGGAGGAGGCTTCCTGTAGAAGCTGGGATTTTAGTTGGGACTCAAAAGAAGCCAGGGAGGTCAGTAGGTAGAGCTGAAGCTAGCCAGGCACTGAGAGATGGAGTGTCTCGTTTGTGGAATAGCCAGGAGGCTCTAGTGTCATTGGATTGAAGAGTATGTAGTAGTGATTAAAGTGAAAAGACTGGAAAAGTAGAAGGGGGCTAGGTTTTGAAGGGCTTTGAATGCCAAACAGAGCATTTTGAATTTGATCCTGGAGGCAATTAGGAAGCCACTGGAATTTTTGAGTAGGGATGGGGATGACTCGATCAGACCCATGATTTAGGAGAATCACTTTAGTAGCTGAATGGAGGATGGATTGGAGTAGAGAAACTTGAGGCAGGCAGACTCACCAGCAGGCTATTACAATAGCCCAGGTGTGAGGTGATGA